GTCCTTCAGGACTTTGAAGTGCTGCACGTGGTCTCCATAGCTGGTGGACGAAAATCAACACGAGGGTCAGGAGAGCAGGAGACACTGGCTGGACCATGAATGACAGACCAGGAGCTCTTTCTGTGCCGGTGCAACTCTGGAGGGCCTGTTACATTGTTAGGAGTTCTCTCTAGGGAGTTACTGACTGGCTGGACCTACTTACGTGATACATAAGCTTTTCTTTAATTCTTACCTGGTATTAATCACCTCAAAAAGGAACAGCCAGCTTATCTAGTTATTGACTTCTACCTTCTAATGTTTACTTATTAGTTGCCTGCACTCAGCTGACACCCACAATGATCTTGGAGATTTAGAAACAATCGGGCTCTTGTTATTAAGAGTAATCAGTGTGTTCCAAAGAAAATGCTAGCATAATGGGTCATAAATGTCCCAGGATTAACTTGTATTGAGTCCCGAGAGCTCTTGAGACATACAGAGTGCGATGTGATTGCATCGTTACTGACACAGGAGAGAAGTGCCACATCCATGTTTGTTTCAGAATGTTTTTTCGTTGGACCTTTGACTCAAAACTTTGCGATTGCTGTGGATTCTCTCCTGCTCCGTAAGCACATATTCAAACACACAGTTGAATACTTCTCTTTGTACTCCCTTGGAGAAAATGTTGTACCAGCTTCTTATGAAAAAGGCTCAGTGTCTGGCTACACTAATGTAATACAATTCCCTGTAGAAAAGTGATTGGGCGTTTCCAGCTAATAGCTCTTTTTTGAGTGTAATAATCATTTCTAGTTTGTTAAGGCTATTGGTGACACACGGTGACAGTTCTACAGGCTGTTAAAAATAGTTTTCTCAAATCCTGTAGGACTACATCTGTTTCCTAAGGCGGCACAGACCAGCTGTCCCAGTTGTACGTTCATTAAGAAGGATGTGACCTGAGACTTTTTTCATTATAATCTTAAAAGGCTGTATCAGTAAAAGTCATAAAGATAACCATGCTAGCAATAACATTACCGCAGCCTGTTCAAGAATAACCTTTGATAAAGAATTAACTTCAAAGAGCCTTGCTTTTGGGAGAACAAGTCACATCTCATGAGATTACTAGCAGTCATACCTTCCTGAGCTGTTGGATACAGTATAATACATTGGATACAGTATAAAATGTGCATGCTTTCTTCTTCATTTGACCCAGTTCCAGCACCTGTGATCGAATCATGTGCATTTGCTCCCTCAGGTGCATGTGCTGTACACAAGGAAAAGGCTGTCTGCAGAACCTAAGTGTGAGGTGAGTTCGGACCTGCGTGTGTTGAACCAGAACACTCACTTTCAGACCTTAATTGCTAGTTTTCCTGTCCCCTCCACAGCGGTAATCTCAGGATTTCACTCAGGAAGACTCAGTGTCTCCCTCTCAACAAAGACCTACAGTGATGTAATATTTACTGTATCACGTTTCGGACTTTCACACAGCTGACTTTCTAAGACCGATGCACAGCAATGAGCTACAAACAGCAATTACTCTGCAAGATGGGGGCTACTCCCATCATGCATACACCCTGAGTGGGAAATGACAAGGATTTAGAGGGGCTTCTGTTTTTTATTTTTAAATATTTCTGCTCACAAAAGGAGAACTGCAGTTTAATAGGTCTGCAAAGCCTCTCTGTAAGTTTAAAAAGGATTTGCAGAGAGTGTGCTTTTTGTCCTTGTAACATTAACAGAAAAATATCTTTCTCCAAGGCTTGCTGACTTCCCTCTTTTGTAGGAGGTTGGGGATGAGAATAAGTGTTTTGCTTACTAAAAGCAGCTGAGTCACAACTCCAGGTCGCTGCAAAAACCACTGGAATGACCTTTATCCTTTGACTTTTTGACCATTGCAGATGGTTTGCTTTTATGAACTGAACTGCTAACACCCAGCACAGGATGGGAGAAGGCAGGGGGGTTTGTGCTTGTTGCTCCACGTGAGTATTAAAGTTTATTTCTCATGTGAAGTCCGGCTCAGCTCATCGTGTAGTAGGACAGAGCCAGGCCTCTCAGTGCTGGCACAGTGGGGCAGAACATCACTCCACATGTTTTTCAAAGTCCACCCCCGCCCAGTGTGACAAGATGAGACAGGACCAACAAACGCCTGAGCTTTCGTTGGAAAGTGGGGAAAAAAGGAGGCTCAGATAAAATAAAAATCCAAAAGCTCATAGAAATTCTGTGGTTTTAGGCAGCCGGCCAAAATTACTGTCAACAAAAGAGATAAGCCACTGGTGCTGGAACAGAGTTTTTTTTACTTTTAAAACTTCACTGATAAGTGTTTTTTTTTTCATTTGCAAAAGACGGTATTTTGCTCCTGAGGTGCATCTAATTCTGAGATAAGCTTGAGTCTTAGGATACTGAGGGACCTACTCTTTAGTACAAATTAGTGAAGTGCTGATTCTTGAATACTGCTAAGATCTGAAGAGGACTTTTATAAATCCAGAAACAAGCTATTTGTTTGGTTAGAGTAGAAAGAGATAA